CCCCACCCCCAACATACCCCCCCATACAGAACACTCAAACTATATTTAAAACTTATTTTCTCTGCTTTTGCTATAGAACCTCCCAAAATCCATCTTGACTGTCTGGGCCAATCCCCTGACACTGTTGTCGTGGTGGCTGGGAATAAATTGAGATTGGATGTTCCCATATCAGGAGATCCAATACCCACTGTCATCTGGCAGAAAGTAGACAAGGTAATGTGTAACCTGACAGAGTATCTGAGGTAAGGAAGTCACAAGGGGAAATTAATTTTCTTTCTCAAATCCTACTTTGATTTATTGTATTTCCAACTTCCTTTTAATTTTATTTTTTTAAATCACAAGAAAAAGAAATATCTGCAATGTTGATGTTTGGGATTTAGCTATTTTTGTGAAAGTCATCCTGAACTCTTCTTTTTCTGAACTGTTGCCTGTTTTTCTATTCCAAAAGAAGGGGCTGACTACGTGTGAGTAAACATAGGTACAGGAGGATTCGAACAGGTTTATTCTCTTCCTACGTCAGAGAAAAAGAAATAAATGATGAGTCAACCCCATCACCTTCACCTGATAGGATGGACATGTTCTGGAAATGGCAGCTTCTTTTTTACTCTTTCTCAAGAATTCTACAGTCTGTGAAGAAAATGTCTTCTTAGCAGACCACTGGCGTAAAACTGTATCTGATATAATGAAAATAGCAAGTGTCCTCTATTTGCCTTATCAAAGCAATTACAAAACATCAAAAAGAATTTAGAAGCTAAACACAAAATGTTAAGTGAGCTGGCTTTCTGGCTATATCAGAACATCCCCACCCCTCACCATCTGTGGGCTCTTGAGCTATAAGTAGCACAAAACACAGAAATACTTTGCATAATATTCTACAGCATCATTACACTTCCCATAGGTGTAGATATAGAAAAAATAATGTTGCCAATTCTATTAATTTTCCCAATCTCATTTCTTCATTAATCTGCTGCATTCTTTGTTCAGATTAACATATTTAATAACACGACTTTTTTCTGCAATGTAGAATTAGTATGAAAAAAAAGACTAAAAAAGAAAAAAAAGAAAAAAAAAGGCTCTCTTTTGAGAACCAGGAGAAATTGACTTTCCCATATAAAAGTTCCTCTGATAAAATGACAACTAGGTATCAGACAACCTCGACACAGTGTGAGGTCTCAACATAGGAGGAAAAGAAGCCAGTCTTAATTTGAAGGATGTGTAACATATACTTTCTAATGAAATCCTAGATTAACAGTAGCACAGCTTCAGAATACATTGCTTGATGTGTGATACAGATCTGACTATATGTCTGTTAAATCATCACATTGACTTCCTAGCTCATTGTTACAGAAAGAAGTAATCCTTTTTGTAGTTACACAAGACGAGTAACTAGTACCACAGGACACAGACAAATTCACAGTTACAATTCTACACAGTTACAATTCACAACCAGTTACAATTGTACTGTAGGAATGTCATCTATCTTTGTTAAGCTGTAAATTTGGTTTTGCTGACTTATTCTTCCCTTAGTTCGCTGCAGTCTGATACATCTCTTTCCATTTCTGCTTTTTACTTTTGTATCAGTTGGTTTCCTTCCCAGGTCTGCTTGCTGCCTCACTTTGCTCTTCAATTTTCTTACACCTCCACATTCAGCCCCCCCTAACAAAGCTATGGACTCTTTTCTGTCTTGCAGAAACAGCTTTACTGCTCTTCTCAGAAAGATGGGGCTGACTTTCTTTGCTTTCTTTGCTTATCTAGAAAAGAGACCTTATTCAAAGCAATGATGATTCCATGACTCCCTCAGAAAACAGCAGTGATTTAAATACTGATAGTAAGGTAAGTTCTTTATTATTTACGCAGACACACAAATATGCTTTGTGTCTCCCAGATAAAAGGTCATATTCAGAAGGAAATAAAATTAAAGTCAGTAGATAGTAAAACTGGTGAAGCAAATAGGACAACAGGCCCAACAACCTGTCTCACAATGGTGATTACCAAACACTTTGAATGGGCATAAGAGATCTGCTGAGTAATTTTAGAGCAAGATTCTGAATGAATAAATGTGTTTCTAATCACCATCACATGGTGGCTGGATTACAAAGAATCAAAGCAGTTATTTTAAAACTCTTTTTAATATATTTATGAGTGTTTACCCCTTTTTTGCTACTAACCTGTAAGACTCAATAATAACTAGAGAAAAAAACCTAGGACAAAACGTTACAGTACACAGGGAATTATGACAATGGGTCAAGAGAGTGGACTATGTATGTACAAAACAGTGAAAGAGGATTCATTTTCCACAAGTTTCCCTTTTGTCATAAATAATTTTTATTTTGATAGAATAAAAAATATTCTACATGTCTTATGCAACAATAAACCTTTCTCAGGGTTAGGCTGCAGCTGTACAAGTCACTATTCAGGCACATATGCTTTCTAATGGTTACTGTTCTAAGTCTAAAGATACATGGGCACATAAAGAAGAAAGGAGTGTGCTATAAATGTACAGCAAAGTTGTGGTAATTGTGTTTAGACCTTGGCTCAGAGTAGAATTTTATGCCATATGACATCCTTGAGTGACAGAAAGCACACTGATGCCATTATCAGTTACCAAAGACATAGTAAATTTCACAGAATCACAGAACATTAGGAGTTGGAAGGGACCTCGAAAGCTCATCCAGTCCAACCGCCCTGCCAGAGCAGGATCACCTAGACCAGGTTACACAGGAACGTGTCCAGGCGGGTTTTGAATGTCTCCAGAGAAGGAGAGTCCACCAACTCTCTGGGCAGCCTGGTCCAGTGCTCTGGATTTCTTAGGGTGAAATCTTTGAACCCACGTTAGCTGATGCCAAATGTAGACACTGTTGATCAGAGATGTGTGCTCAACCATTTGAATTTGAATTTGCAAACTTTGAATTTTCACAGTACCTAACTCTTGTCCACAAAAGTTTACATTGATACTAGCAGCTATTGCAGTAGGAATTTGTGGAAGAACTTAGTAACTTCCTTGAAATGTAACTGGGTATTTGTCACTAGCAATGAATCTTAACAACTTGCAGATTTCCCAAATGTTATTTGAGTCACTTAGTCTGTATTTTCTCTTTCTACATCCAAATAGAACTTTAAAAATTTTATAGATTTTCAATAACTTTGATAATATTCAATGATTTGATAATTTTCACCAGCCTACATACAGGCGCATCAGGCTGTCCTTGGCACAACATCCAATGACTTTATCTGTTACTTCCTTTGCCCACAGCTTCTGTTTGAATCTGAAGGCAGAGTTCGTGTGGAGATGCATGAAGATCACTGTGTCTTCATCATTGAAGGAGCAGAAAAAGAGGATGAGGGAGTATACAGAGTTATAGTTAAGAATCCAGTGGGAGAAGATAAGGCTGATATCACAGTCAAAGTTATTGGTAAGTGAAGGAAGGAAATAACCAGAGCATGAAAGAATCTCGAGTTCACTGAAACTCACCCTTTCCTAAAACTGACTTTAGTTCTGACTTTATGATCCTTTTCTATTTTTTCTAAACCTAAAGGCAGGAATACTATCAATCACAAAATTTAGCAGAAGTATTTTTCACAGTTAGTTGCCTTCTGTATGAAAAGGTAAGAGAACAACTCCCAGTAGAAATCCATGTATATCCTTTTTTACATCTTTCCAGTTTTGGGTGATCCTATCATTTTATAGATGACATTCCATTCTGAAGTATATGCTTCGTGCTTGTCTGAGATAAGAAAATCTTCTTGTCATTTTTTTGTGGTTTATGGTTTTAAACAAAGGTTACTTCATTCTATAAGCAGTGAATAGTAAATGGAATAAAGAGACACAATGTGTGTGATATAAGAACCAGATTGCCCCTATGAGTCACAGAAGAGGTGGGGGGAATATGATTTTGAGTCTGTAATTTTTATAAAATTTGTCATAATATTTAACTTGTTTATACCCTGCCACACATATGACAAAATGTCAGGTCATAAGCAAACTTAGAAATTATAAAAGAAAATTCCTTTCACCTACAATATTAAAATTCAGAATTCACTGTTTAGGTGAATACTAAGTCTCTTTTTAATCCTAAATCAGGTTATTTACTACAAATATCTCCAAAATTTAGAAAGAAATAAAATTATACATGCAGCCATGGTATTGTATATAAAGTTTATTTTAGAGAAAATAGGAAACGTGGGAGCAAGCCTCGTCTTACAGAACAGAATTACCTTGTTACCTTACATTTTTGCAAAAAGCTGATTATGTCTGGGAAGAACAAGGGAGCTGAATAATCAAATTATATTTAAAGGAAACCCTTTAACAACCTAACATAGAAGCATCAAAAAGCAGTATTCACTCTAGACTAAGATAATACATTCTCGATTGTACCTACTGTTGCTATCTGACAAAGATGTAACAATATGACTGAGAAAAAATGTTAGCGAAATATTTCATTGACTTGTACACAGAAATTGAAACAGTAACAACTCTCATTCATTCTCACACTTTCTTCAGATGTTCCTGACCCTCCAGAAGCTCCCAAGATCAGCAACATTGGAGAAGATTACTGCACTGTGCAGTGGCAACCCCCTAAATACGATGGTGGGCAACCAGTACTTGGTAAGAAGTGCTAAAATATAAAGTCCCCAGCAGCCTTACCTATATTTTTTGCTGCTCCTTTAAAATGGCACAGAAGGATTCTCAATGTTTATTCACTCTAGGAAGTCTGAGCCTTAGAAACTAACTACTCCAATATATCAAACCTTCAAACTGGTCTAGATTCTAGCCCTTCAATTTTAGGGAAA